TGTGTGTGCGGGTGTGTGTGTATGTGTGTACGTGTGTGTGCGTGTGTGTGTGTGTGTGTGTGTGTGTGTGTATGTGTGTACGTGTGTGCGCGTGTGTGTGTGTGCGTGTGTGTATGTGTGTATGTGTGTATGTGTGAGCGCGTGTGTGTGGTTACCTACATAAAGCGTATCATAAAGAGGCAATAAATGACCAATTGTAGTATTGCAAATATTTGTATCACCTTATACCGATTCTTGCATCGTTCATCAGAAGCATTGTGTTGTATTTTATTCTATTTGCGTTACAGTGGCGTCTTGGCCGTGACTAACCGCTCTTTATATGGGCAACATGGAAAGTTTTGGATGGATAACGTAAACTGCACTGGGACGGAAACATCACTGGAGCAATGCGACCATTCGGGTTGGGGGAAGGAGAACTGCGGTGAAGGCGAGGTGGCAGGCGTTATCTGTGATACCGTAAATGCCTCAATTGAGGCCGGTACGTAATCTCACTAGATCAGCGGCACTAGCAAAGCTTCGCTGCATAATGTGCTCGCTGCGAAACTGCGCCGTTCTTAATTCCGAACGCTATTAGATTATCAATGTATTTATTTCGTATACTCATTGCTTTCATTTAGAGAGAGGCTTATCATTAAATCACATCCCATCACCAACGGCATACACTCCCTATCGCGACTTTAGTGTCCTACGCTCCATCACAACACCAACGCCTCCTCCCCTAATCATAGCGTCAACACTTTCCTTCCTATCCTAGCGGGAACATCCCTCCTGTCACAGCACCCACGCTCTCTGTGTTCCTGTGTCTTCGGCTGGAATGTTTGGGACAGAACCCAACCGGCGAAAAGGGACAGGGGGCGCTGGGTGACCTATAGTTTACAAGTGCGTTTACAATGTTATGCGGTCGTCCAGTGGATGAATATCTTTTGCACGCGGTTTATGTGTTTCTGTTTATATTAGACCGACAAATATTTCGGAATGTCAAATGGTTTAGCGCCTCCAACGCGCACACACGCGCGCGTACACATACGCGCACACACACACACACACACACACAGACACACACACACACACACACACACACACACACACACACACACACACACACACACACACGCACACACACACACACACACACTCTCTCTCTCACTCACTCTCACGCACACACACGCACGCACAATCTCACGCACACACGCTCGCGCATTTCTATATCGCTATGCGCTTCCTGGATACAGAAGGCTGTTCACCCCTTCTGCCCGCACCTATACATTCCTTATATGTAAGGCACATGTACGCACACGAGCCAGGTACACGTATAGCAGTCCTGTCCACGCGAAACTTTCACAGTCCGATCCTAAAGTTACGAGAATGTTCTGCGTAGGATAAGTCTGAAGATAAAATCATGCTGCTGACAATGTCCCCACGTTGGTATAGTTTGACAACGTTTTCGTTGCAGCTATGCCGGTAACACTGCGATTGACAGACAACAACGAGACAAGTGGTAATCTGCATATCCTCTACAACGGAGAGTGGCGCTACATTTGTGACGATAATTGGAATATCGTTGATGCAACGATCGCTTGTCAACAGCTCGGATTCAAGTAAGCTAACGCGCATATGCGCGCCGAAGATGGCTTCACACATTTTCTAAACGAAATTTTTGTGATTGCTCATGAAAATTAAATACTTGATTGTGCCCCTTTTCCGAGCTTTCTCTATCAGAAAAAAATTCATACCATGTCTATCAAGTACATGTTTGCCTGATCATATCGACTTGATAAATAAATTTTAAAATATTTAAAATTGGCGCGCAATTTTTTATAATTTCGGCAAAAGAGTCGACGCAGGTCACGTGACAGTGTTTATCAACATCATCTTTCGGCAGGAGAGCAACGCCGTATAGCGGCAATAACAAGCACTGTTTTCAACGTATATCCCGCTTCTATCATCCCATGCTCACTTTGCGTCGAATAGACGTAAACCCGACTAGTCTTCTTTATTATCACGCGTATACGAGTATACGCAAGCGTAAAATCCTAAAATGATTCAGTTATGTCAGATGTTTGTTACCGTTGTTTGTTAAAGGTGAATATATTGCAACGGAATTTTTAATACAATTTTTTTGGCTGGACCTATTTTGAGTGATAACTCCTTCTTCCAAAACTCGCTGCAATATTCTGTCAGCGTGGTCGTGTTTTTATTCACGTTTGAAAACGAATAACGGCGTCGCGTGCATGACCCCCGTGTACTCTCTATAATATGCTTGCAATATATCTGTACAGCATTGCCTCTCTTCCTCTGCATAAAGGGCTGCAGCTGATGCAACGTCAAACTCGCAGTTCGGAGGCTCAGGGCCCTACTGGCTCGACGAGGTTAGATGCGCGGGCAACGAACTTAGGATCGAGGACTGCGGCCATACTAACTGGGGGCATGACAACTGTAGCCCTGGTGAAGCCGCGGGTGTCGTGTGTGTTAACACTGTCACACCCGGAGGTGAGTGCACGTTATGTACGATTGTCAAACACATGTGTAGGTCTCATGGTGAATTTGCGCTGTATCATATGTAAGCATCCACGGAGAATACTTACTGTTCATGGTATTAAAGAGTATGAATTCCTTCCTTAAAAACATAATGCCGTGATTTCATAATTGCCGTGGTGCAAAAGTATAGTAATACATCGCGACACGAAAGTAACGCGTTCCAAAAAATCCTGTTCATAACGCGAAATTCCGTACCGCGAATCACACTGGGAGAGGGAGTTTTTAGATTAAAAAACAAAACTTTGTTTATTATTTTGAATAATTACGTAAGAAGCGCTAATATTCGTTTCGTAACGCGAATAAAGTAATCGTAACTTACTTATTACGTAGTATATGCATATAAAAACCCGATCTCTACGACGAGGTCGGTTGCCTTCTGCCTATTTATTTTAGATTGGATATATACATAGGCCTACGCCTGTAGTTGCTGTAGATTTAATGTTAATTTGTTATGTGATGTCAGTAATTTTGATTTAACTCGTATGTTAATTTACCGCTTTTTTATGTGCGCTAACTATTTAGGAGATTACACTGTCCGGCTTGTTAATGCCAACAGTACATCGGAAGGAAATGTAGAGGTGATTCGCTACGGAGAATGGCGCTACGTGTGTGATGATGACTGGGACATACGGGACGCGATAGTCGTTTGTCGGCAGTTGGGATACCTGTAAGAACTTATTCCTAATCACATGAATACATATGTTATGCTAGTTCAACATGATCAATACTAAATTGTTTAAAACGGTTTTCAAGTACGTTACGACATATTTATAGCAGGCTCATATGAGTGCGTTCACAGTGCGGGCCCCTGTTCAGTTGACAGTTCCGTTATTTTATTTTACTTTACAGAACAGCTAAGAACGTGACTGTCAAGTCCCACTATTCTCCGGGTTCCGTTAGTTTCTGGCTTGACAACGTTGACTGTACGGGAAATGAGGAAAGCATTGAACAGTGTACTCATCGTGGCTGGGGTATAAATGACTGCGGAACGACAGAAGTTGCCGGTGTCATTTGCTCTAACGAAAGTAAGCTAAACGGTTTCATATTATGTAGTACTAGTATTCGCTAGTATATTTGAAGAACTAAAAACACGTTAACAACAAACAGCAATTAATTCTTGAAGTGTCATTGTCACCCTCCCGGAGGTTTAGCGCCTTGTTAATAGTACTAATAATGATCTCACAGTTATTGAGGTGAGCTATCTTAGCTCCATAATCATGGTTCTGTTTTGAACTATCCGCAAAGAGTCAAATAGTGTAAAGCTAACACGGTAGAAACAAGCTCAACCAACATGCGACCATGAGTAAAAGTTGTTAAATGTTGGAAATCTTGACTAGTTTAAGCACGAAGTGTGAATGTTGCTACTAGTCATTGTCTACTGTCCCATTCTCGTCCCTATCTAGCCGTCGACCTGAACGTCAGACTCATGACGTCACTCGGCAACGTCAATAAATACTTCGGCATGGGGCAAGTTATGTACGGGAGAAAATGGTACTGGATTTGCGCGGATGACACGTGGGATATGAACGAAGGCGCAGTCATCTGCCGTCAAGTGGGATTCAGGTATACTACTGTTTGGAACTGTTGTTCAATTATCAATAAATCAATGTCGTTGATATCATCGCAATTGCTGTGCTCGTCTATCACGCCTTCGTCGCATAACGAAATTTTCCAGCATGCTCCCATTTTACCTCCACAAAATGGCATCGCCGAACGCGCAGATTTTAAATCAGTTTTTTGAAGTGCTCGCGAGATGAGCATGTAAGGTGATATCTAGGAACGAAACGCGTTTCGCTTGGCAGATCTCTTGCATGGGTGCCGGCATTACCAGTGTTTTGAAAACGCGTAACGTCCGCATTTATCCTGGTCTGATATCGCAGCGGTGTGCAGAGTGTAGGCGTTAATACACAGCATGCGACTGGTCGCCCCGTATCGATGTGGGTGAATAACGTGACCTGCAGAGGAACCGAGAGAAATATTGCTGAATGTGACATTGACTTCGGAAGAAAATGCATGAACAACACGATAGGAACTGTACAGTGCACAAGCAGGGACGCGGAGCTCGAACGTAGGCTATATTACAGTCTATCGCCAAACGATGTGTAACGATACACATATATGTATATATATATATATATATACATACATATATATATATATATATATATACATATATAATAACAATATGTATGATAATTATCTGTCTATTTCAATGAATAGTCGGTTCGGAAATATTTAGCATCATCGCTAGCGCTGGTGCGTCGCAATCCTAATCGCACTTTCTACCAGTTGCTTTCCGGTGAATTTCTCCTGAAGTCAAGAGTGTATATCCATAAATCTTCTCGCGTTCTATCGTTTTACCGATTGTCTTGACCGTATGTTTAGCGCCCACTGTGACAATTCGGCTGGACGGCGGCAACTCCTCACAAGGAAATGTGCTCGTGTATCACCACTACGAGTGGGGTTTTGTCTGCGATGACATGTGGGACTATGCCGATTCTATGGTAGCCTGCAAACAACTCGGATTTAGGTATGCGTGTGATGTAATAACACTAGTATTCCGACGTAAAAAAATCACATGGATAGGTATATATATCATAGAATAATAGATTAGTAGATATATGGATAGATGGACGGATGGATGGATGGATGGATGGATGGATGGATGGATGGATGGATGGATGGATGGATGGATGGATGGATGGATGGATGGATGGATGGACACTTGAATGGATGCGATGATGTGGGAATGATGGATGGCATGATGGTAATGATGGTTGGATGGATGGATGGATTGGGATGGGCATGGATTGGATGGATGGGGATGGATGGACATGGATGGCATGGATGGAGGCATTGGATGGTATGGATGGAATGGTGGATGGATAGATGATGGATTATATGGATGGATGGATGAGATGGTATGGCATGAATGGATGTATGGATGCGATGGATGGATGGATAGATGGATTGATGGTGGAGGCGATGAATGGATGGATGGATGGATGATGGATGGATTGGATGGCGATGGATGGATGGTATGGGGATGGGATGGATGGTGATGGATGGTATGGATGAGATGGATGGATGGGCGGATGGATGGATGATGGATGGATGGATGGTATGGATGGAGGTGGATGGATGATGGATCGGAGATGGATAGATGGATGGCATGAATTGAATGAATGGCATGGATGGTGCGGATGGATGGAATGGATGGAGGATGGATGGAATGGCATGGATGGATGGATGGATGGGGTGGTGGATGGTGGATGGATTGGATGATGGAGGATGGATGGATGGATGGATGGATATGATGGATGAGGATGAAATGGATGGATGGATGAATTGGATGGATGATGGATGCATGGAGTGGAGGTATGGAATGGATGGATGGATGGGATGGATGGGTGGATTGGATGGATGGATGGATGGATGGATGGTGGATGGTATGGATTGGATGGATGGATGGTGGATGGATGGATGGATGGATGGATGATGGGATGGATGGTGGATGGTATGGATGGTGTGGATGATGGGATGGTGGATGATGGATGGATTGGAAATGGATGGATGGATGATGATGGATGGATGGATGGATGGATGGATGGATGCGAATGATGGCATGGATGGAATGGATGGATGGATGATGGATGGATGATGGATTGGGATGGATGGAATGAATGGATGGTGATGATGGATGGGATGGATGGATGGATGGATGGCAATGGGATGGCACTGGTCTGGATGGATGGGATGGCATGGATGGATGGCATGGATGGAATGCATGGGATGGATGAGGAATGGTATGAGTGGTGGATGCAATGGATGGATGGATGGATGGGAATGGATGGATGGATGTATGGGGATGGATGGATGCGATGGAATGGCATGGTATGGATGGGATGGGGATGGATGGATGAAGTGGATGATGGATGGATGGATGGATGGAGATGGGATGGATGGATGGCTGATGGATGGGGGGATGGATGGATGGAGGATGATGGATGGATGGATGGATGGTGGGATGGATGGTATGGTATGGATGAATGGATGGTGATGGATGGGGATGATGGATGGTGGATGGGATGGATGGATGGATGGATGGATGATGGATGGATGGATGGATGGCATGGATGAGGGTGATGGGATGGCAGATGGATGGATGGATGATCGCGGGGGAGTTGTGGTGGGATGGATGTGGGGATGGCGCGATGGGGGTGTGGGGGTGGGATGGATGGGGAGTGGGGTGGGATGGGATAATGGGGTGGGGATGGGATGGAGGATAGATTGATGGATAGATGGGATGATGGATGGATGAAGTGGGATGGGGATGATGGATGATGGATGAATGGATGGATTGGAGTGTATGTATGGATGTAATGGATGGATGGATGGATGAGATGGGAGGATGGGGGATGGATGGATGGATGGATGCGATGGATGGATGGATGGATGGATGGAGATGGAATGGAATGGAATGGATGGATGGATGGATGAGATTGATGGATAAATGATGGGATGGATGGATGCGGATGGAGGATGGATGAGATGGATGGGATGATGGATGGATGGATGGGATGGATGGATGGGATGGGATGGTATGGCATGGATGAATGCGATGGATGGCATGGGATGAGTGGATAGATGGATGATGTAGATGGATGGGGATGGATGGTGGTATGAATGATGGATGGAATCGGCATGGGATGTATGGCATGGATGGATGGATGGATGGGATGGATTGGATGTATGAGTATAGGCGGATGGCGATGGGCTTAGTGGTAATGGATGGGCATGGGGGAATGGCATGGTGATGGATGGATGGAATTGGAGGCCGCGGGCGCGTCCCCCTGGTGGAGCCTGTCTGCCTCCGTTAGGATGGGGCGCCCGCCAGGATGGCAATGGGAGGGATGGAATGGTGGATGGCATGGCATGCGATGGTTGGGAATGGTATGGTGATGAATGGTGGATGGAATGGATGGGCATGGATGGATGGATGGAGGCATGGATGGATGGATGGATGGATGGATGGATGGATGGATGTGGTCATGGCGATGGATGGATGGATGGATGGATTATGGGCATGGATGGATGGGAGTGGTATTGATGATGGGATGGATCAGATGGATGGATGGGATGGATGGATGATGGATGGGCATGGGTATGGATGCGATGGATGGATGGATGGGCGTCGGCGATGGATTGGATGGATGGATAGATGGTTGGATGGAATGGATGGATAGTATGGATGGAAATGGGATGGATTGAAATGGATGGATGGATGGGATGGATGGATGGATGGATGATGGATGAATGGATGGAGAATGGATGGGATGCTGGATGATGGATGGATGGGATGGGATGGATGATGGATGGTATGGGATGGATGGATGGGATGGGAATGGATGGATGGTATTATCGGGGTGAATGGAGATGGATGGGATGGATGGATAGATTGGATGGATGATGAGATCGATGGATGATGGATGGATGGATGGGATGGATGGATGGATGGTTGTTGGTATGGATGGTGGATGGAGGGGATGGATGGATGGATGATTGTGGATGGATGGATGGATGGATGGTATGATGGCATGGATGGATGGACTGGATGGATTGGATGGATGGCATGGTTGAAGTATGGTTGGATGGATGGATGGATGGATTGAATTGATGTATGGGGTGGATGAAATGATCTGGATGGATGAATTGACGGACGAACGAACGGCTTGCGACGACGCGACGGAGGTGCCGGGACGGACGTATGACTGGTCGTGAATAGATGGACACAAGCGTGTAGGTGTGTACAAAAATGGACGGTCAGAACGGCACGGATAGATAGGTAGAATTAAAGTGAGAAGAATCTGTAATATCTCAAACTTTTATCGCATTATTACTACTATCGCATCGTAGAGCGGCAGCAAATGCAACGATAAAGTCCTTGTTCGGTCCGGCGGAAAATTTCTGGGTTGACGACGTTGAGTGCAACGGTACAGAGACATCGATACAAGACTGCGCGCATGCGGGCTGGGGAAAGGAGAACTGTGGTCCCTCCGAGGCAGCTGGCGTTTCCTGCACTGACACGGGTACGTTTACGATGCTTCCTCTAGATGGGTGAATCCGATCGCTCCCTTGATATTGTGTACATCGTTGAAAGTATATTCGCCGTGATGATGCCACGTAATGATCGCTATCGCTCCAAATATGATACGCTATGCTTTTCAACTACGCTCGCGTATAACCATTCTGCGTATGCGACACCCGACCATACGTTTTCATGCGTGTCTATCGCACAAAAGCCATGACATAGTTGCAAACGACGCGATTAGATGCCAGCAATGTCAGTGCAGTAATTGGGCTTATGACAGCGATAGATATTAGGTGCCGATAGGTACTATTTGCTATTGATTATATATATATATATATAGAGATATATATTTATATATATATATATATATATATACATCGAAACTGGACGTTGAAGTCAACGAATAGCGTTCTGTTAGTGACTCCTGTCGAAGTGAGGCTTGAGAATCACCTCGGGCAACATGACACCCACTACGGAAACGTTCAAGTGTTCTTTGCGAACGAGTGGCGCCACGTGTGCGACAGCGGATGGGACACCAATTCCGGACTAGTCATCTGCAAGCAGCTTGGCTTCACGTAAGAACAAGCTCTTTGCTGCCAACTCTTATAAACTATTACAGCCGTCGACATCTGCAATGACACCGATTGCCGACATTACCGATAATTTATAAGTATAGTATTCAGTTTGGGTCTAGGACAGTCCTACTTTCGCATGCCGTATAAGCATGTAAATATTAGCACGCATGTAAATATTAGCACGCATGTGCATTATTATTATTATTATTATTATTATTATTATTATTATTATTATTATTATTATTATCATCATCATCATCATTATATATTATTATTATTATTATTATTATTATTATTATTATTATTAATATTAATCGAAAATACGGATACCTATGATTTCAGCGGAGTCAACACGATCACTAAGAAATCGCACTACGGAATCGTTTCAAACTTCTGGCTCACGAATGTCACGTGTTCGGGCACTGAGACACAGATAGACACCTGTCCACACGCTATGTGGGGCAAGGTTTCGTGCTCGGCGAGAGAGGCTGCCGGTGTCATTTGTGCCAATCCGGACGTTGCCGGTACGTGGCCCGTCGTTCGAATATACCAAATCGAATTGCGGCACCTCTGTTCAGATATATATATATATCAGGAGTTAATAAAGACAATATTTGTCTTTATTAACTCCTGATATATATATATAAACAAATGCTTAAAATAAGTAAAAGGTGTTTAAATTTTAATTAAAATTTATTTTAAGCAAATTAAATTAAAGCAAATTAAAATTTAAACATCCTCTACTTACTTGTAACATTTGTTTTTTATCTACATGGGCGTTCGTGTGTGTTTTTACTATATATATATATATATATATATATTCTACATACAAGAGCTCCTCGTAAATTGGTAGGGTAGTGATGTCTCTAATATGTACCTAATCGATAGGTTATATGCTTGGCGAATGTGTAAGCAATTCACGCGCGTGTGTATGCGCCAGTACATGTGAATTCAAACGGTGTAACTGTCAGACGATCACGCTCACGAGCTTGTGCAGAAGTCGCCGTGTGTTTGATAAAGCGTACTGCGTGTGTCACCTGAACAGACGTCGACCCGGAGGGTGACATCATGATCGTTGGCGGCGATAACAGGACATTCGGCAACGTGATGATCTTTCATGAGTCGCGCTGGCTGAGCGTCTGCGACGATCAGTGGGACGAGGCAAGCGGCCTCGTCGCCTGCCGACAACTGGGCTTCCAGTAAGTAGACGTATTTCAAACAAGAAGCACATAGGAGGGCACCACGGGATGTAGTTTCACATGGAGCGGGGCCTCCTGCGCTTTGATGAAAAATGTTATTGATGGTGAAATGCGGTGAACAACTAGTGTCAGTGCGTGGTAGCCCCGTCAGGTTTTTCTATATTTTGCTCCATCTCGATACGATGTTAAGCATGTGCGTGCGTGTGTGTGCGTGCGTGTGCGTGCGTGCGTGTGTATGCGTGCGTGCGCGTGCGTGCGTGTGTATGCGTACGTGCGCGTGCATGTGCGCGTGCGTGTGCGTGCGTGCATGCGTGTGCGTTCGTGTGCGTGCGTGTGCGTGCGTGCGTGCGTGCGTGTGCGTGCGTGCGTGCGTGTGCGTGCGTGCTTAAAAGACGTAAATGTATCTGCCAGAGTCATTATATCCGTTTCAGGGCAGAAATTGTATTTCAACTTTCACTGAACAGTTGCTCTCATAGTTCTCTCTTTATACAATAGAAATCTCAACAGCGTGACGCGAAATTCACAGCATGGCCGCGTTTCCGGTTACTGGCTGGACGATGTCCGCTGCAAGGGCACGGAAACGATGCTGTCTCAGTGTGCTCACGGTGGATGGGGCAACAACAACTGCGATAACGGAGAGGCAGCCGGTGTCGTGTGTGCTGATACCCGTAAGTGCGACAACTTTACGACAAGATGGCGGCAGTAGGAGTGACGCTTCAGTCCGATTTAATAACCATGCTCCGTTTAAGTAGTTCCCCTACGTATTATTATATTCGTGCGTTTTTCACAACGCATCACTGACGATTAATCTAAAGTCTTTTTACATTTTTTCCCCGACTCGTTATTTTTATTTGGCAATTTTCCCCCGTGAATCGATAATCGAATATGGATTTGTGTTGATTCGCAGCGTCCGTTACGACCCCATCTGCCGGCGAGAGCGCGCCCACTCTAAGGTTGGCAGGTGGCGCCAGCAGCCACGGAAATCTGCAGGTGCTGCACGCCGGGGAATGGCGCTATATATGTGGCGACTCATGGAGTATGGCCGCCGGTAATGTCGCATGCAGACAGCTGGGTTTCAGGTGCGACTCTTTTACTCACATTGCTCTTATATACGACTACAAATATCCCTTGTTCTTCAGCTCACATCATCTCATTGCGCAGCAATGTAAACCAAACAAATGTATAAAAACGTACTCTATAGGGTAGTGACTGGCGTTAACACCTTCATGAAAACGACAGTCACGTAAGCGTGTGGTAATCAAACAAACGAAAAACATCGATTATAGACTATTGACTAGTAACTTTTGACTATTGACTATTGACTATTGAATATTGACTACTGACTATTGAGTATTGAGAATTAACAATGGACTAAGAACTGACGTCTATCGACTATTAACTATTGACAATTGACTCTTGTCTATTAACTATTGACAATTGACTATTGTCTATTAAATATTGACTATTAAATATTAACTATTGACTATTGACTATTGTCTACTGACTATTGACTCTCGAGTGTAGAAGTTGGTTATACGCAAGCGGTAATCTGTCGTTAATTGTGCTTCAGCATCGCGCTCACCGTAGGACTCCCGGAGGCTCATGACGTAATTAATCCTCGCTACTGGATGGATCGCGTTCACTGCAGCGGGTCTGAGCTGCGCATCGAGGACTGTGCTCACAACGGCTGGGGATCGCGCAACTGCAGCTTGTTCGAGATGGCGACGGTGCAGTGCTCCGAAGACAGCGGCCCAGGTATATATATATATATATATATATATGTGTATGTGTGTGTGTGTGTGTGTGTGTGTGTGTGTGTGTGTGTGTGTGTGTGTGTGTGTGTGTGTGTGTGTGTGTGTGTGTGTGTGTGTGTGTGTGTGTGTGTGTGTGTGTGTGTGTGTGTGTGTGTG